GTAGGTGTTCACTAGGAAAACAGGAAGCAGTGCAGTAGTAGTGTGGAACAGGTCACAGGTGAAGGTTGATGAAGAACATGTATGTATAATTGCATGCCAAGACAAGGTACTGATGTTGCTGTGATGATTTTGGTAGCAGCCTCCAGACTTGTAAAGAATAGAGACAATAGATGCCTGTACAGGTACAGGCCAGCTGGCTGTGCACTATACTGCACAATTCCACATGATGAGCAAGTGAGGTGACCAGGGCGACCCAGACTGTTGTGTATAATACATACTTATGTATATAATTCCTGACGAATGTGGTTTTGTGCCTACCCATGCAGTACAAGCTTCTATCCCCAATGATGGCAAATAGATGCTGATGGCATGAATTATGAAGTCAGACAGCTTTTCAAAAAAAAGGGAATGTGAGATTTAACAGTGGACAGGGATCATGTAAAAGCTCATAACATTTACAGCGTCTGAACCTCAAAACAGCAATTAAAATCCTTAAACAGCAGTTCAGCAAATTATCTAATGGCAACAGCCAGTAACATGATGGAACTTCCTTTCAGCATGTCCCTGCTCGTAACAGCTTTCAAGGCCTGTTAGCAACTACAGCCCTTGGCACCGCTTAACAGCTTAAGTGAATTGAACGATTGCTAACAATTACCTTCCCAAAACCCTAACAGCCGTCGAAAATTCTTTCTCAGCATCTGGGTGACCCAACCAGAATGTAACATCCTGTCAACAATATACTGCTGTGGAAGAAAGCGCTCTGTTACAGGTCCTTACAGCTGCTAACAGTCCCTAGAATCAGACAACTGTTAACTTAAATAAACCTAACAGCCGTCAAAAATTCTTTCTCAGCATCTGGGTGACCCAACCAGAATGTAACATCCTGTCAACAATATACTGCTGTGGAAGAAAGCGCTCTGTTACAGGTCCTTACAGCTGCTAACAGTCCCTAGAATCAGACAACTGTTAACTTAAATAAACCTAACAGCCGTCAAAAATTCTTTCTCAGCATCTGGGTGACCCAACCAGAATGTAACATCCTGTCAACAATATCCTGTTGTGGCAGAAAGCGCTCTGTTACAGGTCCTTACAGCTGCTAACAGTCCCTAGAATCAGACAACTGT